CCCCGCCAGCCCGGGCGCCGCGCGCAGCCCCCGGGCGCGCGCCCCCGCGCGCAGCCCCGCCGCGCTGGCGCGGGCGTAGCGCGCGAACCCTGCACAAGAGCACACGGGCGGTCACGCCGCCGCGCTGACAGACACGACAATCAAAGTATCAAACATCTTAATACTCCCTTTCAGGCTTATTAATTTGTTTAGGCTGAGTTGTACGTACCCTCATTGTAAATAAATCTTGTTAGTTGTGGTTCGGGGTTCTTTTTATGTGTTTGTCTTAGGGTTTAATTTGTGTTATTATTGGACCAATAAAGAATACTTATGATGCTGATGACATCTGTTGGCATGCAAAACACGATGTGGTTCAGAGTGTTAATGAGCCACAAAAAGTTAATGATCGTGTACCTGAAATTGAAAGCATGAGAAATATGAAAATGAAGTGATACAAAAACCCCATTAAGCTTTAAGTGATAGGTATTGTTTGGTTTATTCCTTTCTTTATAAAAAAGCAATAGTTAATTGATTATCAAGTTTAATTATTGTGATTTGATCCAATGGAACTCGTTCAATTGAATAATCATTCTACTTTTTTTCCCTTTTGATCAGTAACTTTCATAGCAAAGCATTAAATACAGCGTAGTATTGGAAAAGTATGTATAACACAGTATTAAACTTTCAGACGAATAAATACACCGAATTGACAAAAGCCATGCGATAGCAATATGCAAATATACAGATGGTAGTAGTATCACGTAAAAAAGGTATAAAAGGGCAGTTCTTTGGCAAAGCTTTTATTCGTACTCAAGTGAATCGTACGAAAACGTTTGTGACCTGATTATGGCAGCACGACGGGAATTAACTTTGAACGCGGAATGGTAGTTGGAGCTACAATCGTGGGACATTCTATTTAGGAAATCGTTAGGGAATTCAATATTCTGAGATACACAGTGTCAAGAATGCTTAATTTCAAGCACAACCTCTCACCACGGATAACGCCGTGGCCGACGGTCTTCATTTAATGACCGGGAGCAGCGGCTGTTACATAGAGTTGTCAGTGCTAAGAGACAAGCAACGCTGCGTGATATAACAGCAGAAATATTTCTAGGAAGTGCAACGAACGAAACTATTGGGACATTGTGGCGGACTTTGGTTTTAATGCGTTATGACAGCAGAAGCGCATCTCCGGGGCTCGTGACCATATCGATTGGTCCCTAGACAAGTGGAAAAGCGGGTCATAGTCAGATGGGCCTCAATTTTAGTTGGTAAGAGCTGATGGTAGAGCTAGTGTGGCACAGGCCCCAAGAAGCCATGGGTCCAAGTTGTCTACAAGGCACTGAACAGGCTGGTGATGGCTTCATAATGGTGTGGGCTGTTTTTTGGAATGGACTGAGTCCTCTCGTCCAACTGAATTTTCAACTACAGGAAATTGTATGTACAGTTACTTGGAGTTCATTTGCAGCCTTTCATGGACTTCATGTTCCCAAACAACGATGGAAGTTTTATGAAAACAATGTGCCATGTCACCGGGCCACAATTGCTCGCGACCAGTTTGAAGATCATTCTGGACAATTCGAGTGAATGATTTTGCCTCCCAGATCGCCGGACATGAAAACCAACGAATATTTACGAGACATAATCGAGTTCGTACACAAAATCGACCACCTGCAACATTTTCGCAATTGCAGACGGCTATAGATGCAGTATATCTCAATATTACTGCAGGGCTTCAACTTGGTGAACCCAAAGCATGTCCCGTTTCTGCACGTTGTATAATATACCACACAAAATCAGAAGAAGTATGAGAGTGTTTTCACGTAGAGCTACACAAAGAAAAAAATATGCTTCTGTTCGTCATGACGTAATGTGAGATAGGGGCATGATACTTTATCTTCATCACAACAGCCTTTTGTTTATCGGCAAAAATCATCTATATTAGTCTAAACGTGATTGAAAGAATTCTAAATGACGGAATGTCTAACTTTTCTTGAAATTTATGGTCATGAAATGGAATTGAAATCGACAGGCTTGCACTTCAAAATAAGTGCAAAGTATTCGAAATAAGTACAAAGGATTCAAAGAATTCTGGAAATGTTTCATTTGTATATCAACTATATTTTCAGAATAGAGCTGCAAGTAATGATTAGAAATTGTCATGCCCAAAATCTGACATCATAGACGGAATAATAATGTATTTAAAATGGTTATTCTACAGTATTCACTCATAGGATTTGTTCCGTGGAAAAAATAAACAAAAAAATAATCATTGGAATAAAAATGTGTTTAGAATACCTGGTAAAGTGAAATTGAGGGTGTTGTACTTCCGTAGATCTGGTTCATTCCACGTTTCAAATCTCCAGCGTGCTATGGCCTCCGATCCATATCGGTCTGAAACATCAACACAGAGCCGGATTACGAAAACGGGTCTTGGGCTAACAAAATGTGGGAGCCCAAATGGTAGTAAAATAATTTTTAACTTAACTAGCGGAACCCGGCAGACGTTGTTCTGCCCTACATCTCCCTCTTTCTCGTTTCCTTTCCCTTTCTCTCGCAGTTTCTCTCTCTCTCTCTCTCTCTCTCTTCGTCTCTCTGTCCCTACTTCCTTCTGTCTCACTCTCTATGTACCACGCTCTCTCGGCCTGTCTCTGTCCCTCTTATTAATATTTAGCTGCAGATTCTGTACGTGCCCGAGCAGATAGGATAATATAGAGGTTAATTCCGATTCCGTGCGTACAGATCTTCATGAAAGTTGGCACATTACGTGTGTTTTACCCACAAGGTTTATGTTATGTGAATTTTGTTGTAACTCCAGTAGATGGCGCTGTAGAACAAAACTATATATATATATATATATATATATATATATATATATATATATATAT